GGTACCCACACCTCCCTTTCGATGAACTGGTTATTGAATGAATGCGTCAGGCGTCAGTCTAGGAGACACAGAGATTCTGTAATGTGTGCAAGCACGTTTATTTCCTTTCGTTTGCAGGTAGGCCGTGCAGACCAGCGAAGGGCATTCTCTAACGTCCTCGAGGTGGTCTTCACGCCATATGTACTTCACTCGGCAATAAAGCATTCAGAATCCCTTAAAGCAGTGGTCTCTCTCCTCTCCGACCGCTCGCCACCGGGGGCTACGCCTACACGCCAACAGACGCAGACCCCGTCGCTTGATCTCTCCTGCGCCGTGCTAACTCTTGGCCTCCTTGTGCAGATGACGACGACCTGATGCTGCCGCTCGCGCTGGGCCGGCTGGGCCGCACGCGCGCGCGCACGCGGCGCGACCCGAGCAAGGCGCGGCCGTACCGCTGCGTGCAGTGCAACGCCAGCTTCATGCAGAAGCACCACCTCAAGCGGCACATGGCGGGCCACGGCGTGCGCCGGCCCTACCAGTGCGGCCAGTGCTCCGCCAGCTTCGCCATCCGCGACAACCTGAACCGCCACCTGCAGACGCACAGCGGGCAGCGGCCCTTCCAGTGCGAGACGTGCGGCAGCAGCTTCCGGCGCCGCGAGCACCTGCTCACGCACCGCCGCACGCACGAGGGCACGCTGCCCTGGACCTGCGGCGTGTGCGGCGCCAACTTCAAGCACCTGTACCTGCTGCAGGCGCACCAGGCGTCGCGCCACCCGTCCGACCCGGAGCAGGTCGCCGCCGAGGACCCCTTCAAGTGCCCGTACTGCGACGCCTCGTTCCGCACGGCGCACACGCACTCGCGCCACGTGCGCACCCACGAGCCGCAGGTGTAACAACTGATTATCGACAACAGTTTTTGGAGTCAGGCACCTGTTTTCTTCGATGTCTTCGTACCTTTGATCTGATTGAACATGGGATGTGTGTCATGCCTTTCTAATTGCCTGTAAGTTAGTAACTCGTAATATATTATCGACAATTGTTATTTAACCATTTTATTTATTTGCCCTGTTAAAGGTGTAAAAGTTTATCACTTAAAAATATGTAGCTTCATCGGTTGTTTTTAGCAGATGATACCTTACTTCTAGAATCTTACAAAGACTTTTTTTTTGTCTGTGTGTATTTTTGAAAACTACTTCAGACAAACACATTCCTTATAAGTTGTTGTGGATGAATAAAAATCAATTCATCTTGATTATCGTGATGATTATTTTGCTCGAGAACTGATTACGATTGCATCACGTCTTCCGCCTCTGTCTGGCCGACTCTTCGTCTCGCCTGTCCGCTGACCACCAATGTATTGGTTCGACAGGTGACCTGGACGACGAGGAGCTGAGCGGCGGCCTGGACGCGGACGTGCTCGTCGTGCTCGGAGCGCATCACCTGGCGGCGGCGGCGACGGACGACCTCGCGGACCTCGCGGCCGACGAGTCCGGGGACGGCGGGTAAGTGCTCGCTCGTGGTGGCCGCGACCAGGAGGCGCAGAAGGTGCGGCGATGACGACGGCCTGCTTGTTGCAGGTTCCAGTGCGCCGACTGCGGCAAGCGCTTCCGCGCCGAGCGCACGCTGAGCCGCCACCGGCGCGTGCACAACCAGTTCCGGCCGCACAAGTGCGTCACCTGTGGCTCGTGCTTCACCAACAAGTCGCACCTGACGCAGCACATCCGCACGCACACGGGCGAGAAGCCGTTCCCGTGCGCGCAGTGCGGCAGCCGCTTCACGGCCAAGTCGCACCTGGCGGCGCACGAGCGGCGCCACTCGGGCGAGCGGCCCTTCCAGTGCCCCGTGCCCGGCTGCGGCGCCCGCTTCGTGGAGAGCAGCCACCTGCACGCGCACGTGCGGCGGCACGGCGGCGAGCGCTGCTACAAGTGCCCCGCGGCCGCGTGCGGCGCGCGCTTCATCCGCCGCAGCGACCTGGCGCGGCACCGGCTCAGCCACGCGGCCGAGCGGCCCTTCCAGTGCGGCCACCCGGGCTGCGAGAAGTCGTTCGCGCGCGCCACCAGCCTCAGGAAGCACGAGCGACGCCAGCACGGCGTCGAGGGCGGCGACAGCGAGCCGGACGGGCCCGACGGCTCCGAGGAAGATGAGCTCAGCGAGTGAGGCAGAAGCAGGGGGAAAGGGGGGGGGGGGAGTCGACTGGAAGTAAATTCCACCAAGCGTTTCTTGTCCATGTTATTGTAATGTCTATTCTAAAAAAAAATGATTACATGTGTCTTTTGTGGTTTATCTATTTTACAAAATTTGAAATTCTTTGTTATTTGTTTTCAATTAGCTAGTGATACTGGCTAATAAAACTGAACTGCGATAGCTTGACTGAATGTGTGAGTTGTTACTGTGCCTCCTGTGGCTTCCTTCCGTCCCCCTCTCGTGGCACTCCCTCTGCTCTGCTCTGCGCGCTCTAACTGTGACACCGCTTTTTGCCGCAGATCCGCTGGGTCCGCTGGACGGCGGGGCCCGGGCCGACGGGGTGCTGCACCAGTGCACGGACTGCGACCGCTCCTTCCTGGGGCGCCGCATGCTCGTGCAGCACCTGCGCACGCACAACGCTGACCGACCCTACAAGTGCACCGTGTGCTGCTACTACTTCAAGTACCCCGGCGACCTCACCAAGCACATGCGCGTGCACACGGGCGAGAAGCCCTACCGCTGCCAGCTGTGCGACGCGGCCTTCACGCAGAGCACGGGCCTCAACACGCACACTCGCAACGTGCACAAGGCGCAGCTGTGCCGCTGCCCGGTGTGCGCCTGCTCCTTCGCCCACCACGCGCAGCTGCGCCACCACTTTGCGCGCCACGCCCCCATCTTCTGCGAGGTGTGCTACGCGAGCTTCATGACCAACGAGGAGAGGGTCGGCCACAAGCTGGCCGAGCACGGCGACATCGAAGCTGTGGCCGTGTGATAACGCTCTGCAGTTCTCGAATAAAAGTATACGATTTGAAATAGAAATGTGAATGTTCTCGCCCCCCCCCCCGCCCCCACCTTTTCCGCGGGATTCTCAATTGTTTCGACATAAATCGCTACATTGTTCTACCAACCGCGTCGACGCTGGAATTAATTTTTAAGACATAGAAAAAACTCGTTCTTCTGCCACCAAAGAGGTGCAGGTAGTGGTAAAGAACGAGTAAAAACGATTCTCTAATGTGCTTATTTCTCTGGTTCCAGCAGACTTATTTGAACACGGTGGGGATCCTCTCGATGGCAGCCAACAGCCTGCTTCCCACTCGTGCCCCTCGTGCGGCAAGTTTTACTCGTGGAAGGGGAACCTGGCCCGCCACATAAGGGTCGAGTGCGGAAAGGTGCCCCAGTGGGCGTGCCCGTCGTGCGGGCTGAACTTCATGTACAAAGCGCACATGGTGAGACACTATAAGCGGAAGCACGAGTAGAGAGCACAAGTGCACGATAGCCTTGGGCGCACAACTACAACGCCAGGTCGCTTGGAAATTTCAAGTTTAATAAATCAGTCATTTGTCTAAGGTCACAGAATCACAATCTCATTTATTCCGTCGATCTCTCCCGCAAGCTATACTGACACCCTCGGGAGCGCTGTTATCTCAACATCACAGATACAAAGGACACAGAGTAGGGCCCTGTTGGGCCGGCATCGGCGCGAGGGAATTCCGAGGGGTACTTCACTGAAAACAAAATCAGTGTAAGCCCCCCCCCCCCTTTCAAAAAATAATTTAAAAAAAGTCACGATAAAACATGGAAAACAAAGAAATTGTAGTAAAGGACCCCTCAGGGAATTCCCTCCTCGGACTAGAAGTGTCCCGGCGGCGGCGGGCTACCGTGGGACCGGCGCACGTGCCGCACGAGGTTGCTGCGCTGCGAGGCGCGGTGCGGGCAGTGCGGGCACTGGAACTGGGGCAGCTTGCCGCACTCGAAGCGGCCGTGCCGGGAGAGGGACTCCTTGTGCGAGTACACCTTGCCGCACGACGGACAAGGGTACTGCGAGGGCCGCCAACCGTTCCGCACACCCAGCGCCGAGGCGTCGGGCTCGAACTGCGGCCACGAACTGCGGCGGTGACCTGGAACAAGGCTGGATCAGTAATCCAAACGATGGTGTGTTCCCCTCTAGTCCCAGTCGTATTTGACCTCCTTCACCACCAAGGAATAAAAATGGAGTGAAGTTATTCACTTTAAAAAAAATAAAATCAGATTTGAGTCACCCATTTTATTTCATCACTTTTTAAACAAAGAGGGGAAAACACACACACACACACACACTCACTCACTCACACACACACAAATTTCTTAAGACTAGAATTCACACATTCTCAAGTGGGAACAGGAAGGAAGTTACATATTTTTCCCTAATTAACAGTTGGGCTGAAAATCAGAATAACGTTGCTTTTCCTCTATGTGACATAACGTGTCCTTATTTGCCAATGTGAGTTATAGAAGCATGTTACACATAAAGTAGGAAGTCCATGACATGTAGCGCAGAAAGTGGAGGCCTGTTTACATGCTTTAGATGCATCTTTAGGAGACATTGTCTTTCTTAGTGATAGGTAACACATGGTGCAGCGTCTTCTTGTCTTGACCTTTGGACCAGGGCGCTCCATCAAAAAGTGTCCATTAAGCTTCTGGACACTTGCATCTACAAAAGAGATATACAAAAAATAAGAATCTGAGTGGAGCAATCTTTCCAAGTGATATGATGTAAATATGTGGTAATAAAATGACAATTGGAAGAATAAAGTCAACACTTGAGAGAAAAAAAAAATATATTTATTTAAGGGGTTACCATAGATACAAAAATATTAACAGCCATTAAAATATATAGAACTGAAATGCTACTTTCAGTTTGTCACTTATTGAAATGAAAAAATCTAGAAACAAGTCAAGGAATGTACAAAATATTTTAGAAAAAAGAATGCCTAATTATGCAATGAAAAATGTAAGAAGAACAAGAGATGTACATATTTTATCTCTCAAGATTTCTGGTATTCATAAGTATTTAATAATGTGACAACTTATTTTCACATCTATTTTTGAAGTTTTACGTGTATAAAACTTAAATGGCACATAATGCGTGGCATGGCATATAATTGCAGTCAGGAATGTTTAACTACTCTATGACAGGTGGGGACCATGTTTCAGAACATAAAAGTACTTCGTACAAGTATGGAAGTGAGAAAAAATTGGCTTCAATACATGTCTTCTTACAAAAATCACTACAAACTGCTCTATTAAGCTTTTATTTGTTTTGTTTTTTTAATGACTAGGACACATTTTTCTCACATGAAGAGTTTGATGTCACACAGAGCATCTACTCCTCAAAATACTGTCATGGTTGAGCAAGGTTTTAAAGGAATAATTCACAATTACATTTTCCCCCTCTTTATCCATACTAGGGATGAAGCATGCTGAAGATGGCAGTTTTAGATTCATAATATCTAAGCTCCCAGAGAAACAAATACATGCCATAAAATACTAAATTATCCAAATAATTGACCAGCACTGGTATCTACTGGCATACGATCAGCATGATTAGTTCTAAGGTGTCTCATTAGATTGGAGTGCTGGGCAGTTCGATGAGGGCATATTGGGCATTGAAACTGAGGCACCTTTCCGCACTCCAAATTAAGGTGTCTACGTAGAGTATTCTTGTACCGATAAGGGCGCAGACAGCGGTGACAGCGAAACTGGGGAATTGTGTGCATTGGAGCAGTATGATGTGAGCCAACAAATGGCTGCCCAAGCACCACTTGTAATGCTGCAGAATCTGTGGGGAAAGAAAAACAAATCTGTTAGTAAAATGTGATAGGTTTTCATGTTGCCAGATTCCTTCACAAAAATCTACGGTAGCATCCATATGAAACCAAATTAAATCATACTGACCAAATATCGGTAAAAAAAAATTATGTTTAAGGTACTGTGTGTATTTGATTGAGGATAGGAACAACCAGAGAAGGATGAGAATAGAAGTGAAATTTATTTGAATGTTTATAACAGAGGAAAAAAATCTATCTAAAATCTAAAACAGTCGTTCCAATTTATGTCTTAAATAACACAATATGTGCTAGAAAGGCACTGAAGAGTTGTTTTGAAGCTGATCCTCTTCATTTCTACACAATTGCTTAAAGCTAGGGAACCTAATGTAGAGTTTTAACTTTTCAAAGCATAAAACTGATATTAATATTTTCATAAATAAATTATAAATAAATGAGACAATGTTAGTAAAGTTTCAAGCTACCCAAGCTAAGACAAAAGATCCATTTAACATGAATGACTCTTAAGGTTAATCATAGTAACAAAAAAGATGAAAATAAATAGAGACAGCACTAGAGTTACTGTGAACATCAAATAGATGGCTACTAACTAATATCACTTTGACATCATATCTTCATGAGATAACTGTGGGGAGTGGCTTTGTGCCTCACCGACATCAGCTCTGGAGGTCCTCCAATCAGATCCTATAATGCTAGCATGTATTTTACGAATATGTTTCATCAGATTTCCTTTCAGTTTTGAGCGATGGGGGCAATATGGACATTGGAACTGAGGTTCCTTTCCACATTCAAACCTTAGATGAGTTCCCAGTGTATATTTATATTGATAAACCTTGTTGCACTTTGGACACGGAAATAAACCACGCGAGGCATTGAACTGCTGTTGATTATCTTCAGAACCTCCAGAAGGACCTAAGGCAGACGAACATAATATAAAGCATGTTAAATCACAATAAAGGAACAAATTGTGCACTAAAGTGAACAAATTTTCACCTGAGCAATTCATTGCTGATGGGAACTCCCACCACGGCAATCCTGATCCTCCTGGACCATTACGACTACCCCATACTGCGTCCATGGAAGATGAATCTGCCACAGAAAAGACTTGCAAGGTTAGATAGATAAAAAAATGTAGCGCTTTTTTCCCAACCTTTTAACACTTTACACAATAACATACCATATTACATACAAGGTACTAGAGTAGAAAAGGGACAAAGAAAGGTTGCATGTGATATTAAAAACAAAATTTATGGATGAATTAAAAAAAAATGCTCCTTGATTATAGGTAAAGAAATATTTATTAATTTTATTATTCTTGGAACATAAAGATTTGGTTTCAGGTAAAAGTCTCCGCATTTATGTCAGTAAGTGCTTTCATCAGGTGGACCAATAAACTACCACTAATGTTACAAAATAAGAGTGGCCTAGCATTACATTAACTAGTGCAAAAAGAAAAGAAATGACAAATTGAATATTTCACTTTCGCACTACGAGCAAATAGAGATGTCTTAAATCTGGTTGTCTAAATGTTTTTTGTGTTTTGATTTTGTTAACTGTTACTATGTCACTCTACAGCTGTTTTATGCAGAAGTTGCTGCTTTAAATTAAGCTCTCGTCTGAAACTTTGAGCGTCAACTTCAGGATGCTTGCTCAGAACATGCTTATATAGATTGCCCCTAAATTTGGAGCGATGAGGACAAACAGGACACTTAAAACAAGGTTCCTTGCCACACTCCAAGCGTTCATGAGTTGTTAAGTTACACTTCCAGCGGTAAACCTATAATGGAAAAATTACATACTCATTACTATATAATTTGTACTTTAATTTTTAATTTTTTTGAATGTACATAGTATGAAATAACACTCACTTTGCCACACCCACTACATGAATACTGTCCAGGTCCTTGATTAGGTAAGATTTCTCTTCCCCGTTTCTTGCTAGTACTGGGAGGGTCTGTAGCAAGCCCACGAAGATCTTGAGCTCCACGTCTCATCCTGTCACTTTGTGCAGACATACCGCACACGGAATAGGAGAGAGCCCACCAATCGTTCTCTAGAGAAACAAAATAAAATAATGTCAGAAATAGGACAAAAAGTGTTTCTAAAGAAAGAAAAGAGAGATAAAGGACACCCTGCATTAATATGAAATTAACAACACATGATTATAATAAAAAGATAATAAACATTTTATTGCTCCAAAACTATCTTTTCATTGTGGGATAAATTTTAGAACAGATTTGTTGATGGTTGAAGAACGAGCAAAATAGAGAATGTACATCAAGCAAAAGAAAGATGAGACTCTATCTGTCTCCTATGTAAATGAATGGGGACTGGCCTTGAGCTTCAGCTCATGCGGCCAAATATGAGACAGAATGATCGGTGATAAAGGGTGAAACTATATAATGAGATGAGAGACTATGGATAAGCAACAATGTATAGCTTTATCGCACTTCTCTTCATATGTAACTATCAATCCGGGAATCGTTGGAAGGAGGAAGGTTCACTTTGTTGCTTATCCATATTCTCTCGCATCATGGCAACCTGTTTAGATTTAGCAAGCATCCAAGTAACATTTTTACTGAACTGACAGCCCCTGATGACGACTTTGAATGTGCTTATTAAGGTTCCATTTAGCATAGGAACGATGAGGACAGTGCGGGCACGCAAATTGTGGGTCCTTTCCACATTCCATCCTTTGATGCTTCTTAAGATTATGCAAATACTGATAAACCTTCCCACATTGTGAGCAAGTATATGCAATCTTTTCTTGTTCAGTCACTGCAGGAATAGGTCCTTGAGGAACAATAGGAGAGAAGTACAGAGCCTTCCTAGGCACTGATCCAGGTACAGGCGTTGTGTCTAGGATGTTTGATGCAGAGAATGAATCCATAAGCCGCCACTCTAAATGGAAATACAAAGATCCATTAGATAAATTATTTGATCACAGTTAAAGGAAATAATGATTAAACATGCACATAGATCCAAAAAAGGCTATCTACTTACCTCCCTTGATTAAAGGACTCATGGTAAGTAGAACAAAAATAACAATTTTTGCACCACTAAATAGGAACAATTTTTTAAAGGTATTATTTACAACAGAAAAACAGATTACTATAGACTACATCATTCTTTAATATGTAACCTTACATGGAGGGGAGAGCAATATTGGGAATAAATAGATACAATTTGTGCAGGTAGAAAATTTTAGACACACAGAAATTGGTAAAACCCTGGAACAAGACTTGTTATTTTGTGAAGAAGAGTATGCTAAGAGGCAAAAAACATGAAATGAATGAAAAGGCACCAGTAAGTTAATTAGCTGAAGTATTCACAGTTGGGATGCTACTATCACAACGTGTTCTAAAACACAAGCTTGATTCTAGTACTAATATTAAAATAATATCACATTTTCAAATTTCAAGTAAAGCTAAGGATAAAGAAATTAACAAGATAAAATTTATGAATTAGAACTAATTATGCACGAAGACAGTTAAAAACAATCACTACAGGAAATTCTGACAAATAAGAGAAATGCATGTCTTCCATTTTGATGTTAAGATCCAAATCATGGTGTTGTTGCTCTGCTGATCGTATTAGGGGCATATGGAGATGGTGATGGCAGCTGTTGAGGGGATGTCTGAGAAGTGCCACCTTGCTGCTGTTGATTTAATATATGCTGTTGTGGTGATTGCTGCTGTTGGTGGGGCTGCTGGAGGGACTGTTGGGGTTGTTGTAGTTGTGATGATATTGAGGCTGAAATAAGGTTTGCTGATTGCTGCTGCTGCTGCTGCTGCTGCTGCTGCTGCTGTTGCTGTTGCTGCTGTTGTTGCTGCTGTTGTTGTTGTTGCTGTTGTTGTTGTTGTTGCTGCTGCTGCTGCTGCTGCTGCTGCTGTTGGGAGTCTCTCTGATGATCGAGAGCTGACTCTCCTACTTGTGTGGAAGCAGCTACCTGCAGCATAACTTGGGGAGGTGGAATGTGAGGGTGCCAAGAAAGAGATGAGTGAGGTAGAACATTCTGATGATGGCTGTGACTTTGTAGGCCCATTACAGGAGGTGCATGCTGTTGATTGCCTTGATGCTTGCTCCTAATATGCCTGATGAGGTGAATTTTTTGTTTACTTTTATGAGGGCAATGTGGGCACTGAAATTGGCGCTCTTTACCACACTCTAGACGGACGTGTGATGAAAGATTTCCTTTGTACCGATAAACTTTGCCACAAGTTTCACAAGGGAAATGACCTGGACCATAACTCGAACCAGATGTGTTCATTGAGCCTGTTGCAGCATGTCCTTGATTAGACAAACCGACATGTTGACTTTGATGAAGAAAATCCTCAACTGCCATATTGCCATGATGAATTGTCCCAGAGGAAGTCGTAGACCATGAAATAACTTCCACTCCTGGAGAGGGTGAAGATACAGGTTCTTCCTTCATGGGATAATTGTACTCAATCGTCTTTGTAGATGGTGGCCACGGGGATGCAGATGAAGTAATTGCTGCAAGCAGAGAGCAATGTGTTAGTACAAAAAAGTGAAGAAAGCTCCCAAGAGGTGGAGTGTTTTAAAAATCAGTTGATATTGTGAAAACAAGCATAGTTGAAAGGTAATCCTGAAAGAAAATGTAACAAAAACTTTACATCCATAAATTTTATTAATTTTCTAGGGTAGATGTGGGTTAGCTAGCATTTTCCTAAAGGTCCATGGGTCAGATAATTTTACAACAGAAATTACTTTCTCTGAAAAGCAAGGGTGTAGTAAGCACAATGACCAGGAAGGATAACATAGACAAATACAAGTAACAGACTGAATAACAGGACTGACATAATTTTTTTAAATCCTAAAAGCACAGTGATGATGGTGCTTCTTTATTTGTTTAATTTCTTTTTATATTTTCAGTTGCTTTCATGAAAAAAGTTATCCAGCTCCTTACTGCTAACTACATCATAAATTTGGAAGATAAATATTGGTATAATACTGATATTGGAGGTATAGAATCAAACTGCTCTACTTTCTACATCTATTAAACACACATTTAACTATAATCGAAGGTGAAAGGTTCAAAGTAATATTTTGGTAAATCAAAAATCACAGATAAATAAATACAGTGGCACAAAATTTCTGTATGAATATGACATGTGCACTAATAAATTCAAGAACAAGCTATTTCAACGAAAAATCAGAAAAAAAAATCTTCGTCAACTGTAATAGTACTCCATGCAAAACGCCAGTTTTTAAAGAACAGCATAGAGGAGCCATGATGGAACCTTTACCGACTGCCCAACAAACAGTATACATGAAGTGAGGCATCCCTACTTGAATACATGTTTTGGCACTACTATATATGAAGCTATGTGAGAGCAAAAGGCTTTCATAGCAATAACATATTTTTATCTGCACTTCAAAACGTTAAAGGTGGGAATAACAGTATCCTAGAGTCAATGACCTAAACACAGAAAATAGATACTAAAAAATGGCACATTTATAAGGGTAACAATAACTTGCATGACACAAGCTCTAAAAACCAAAAGGTATTTTAGGTGAGAATTTTTTAAGTTAAGTTATTAGTAAAACATTTTTGAGTCAAATATAAACAAACTAGAATGTAATACTCTAGATATGGGGAAAATCACAATCAAAGAGAATTATCACAGAAAAAACATTACACAAATTCAAATAATATTTTTTTAAAACAATTTTACTTATACTACATATATTTTGTGTCTAGGTAATACTTTGTCCATTGTTTGGTTACAGCACCCTTTGAGATTCCCCCAGCTTCTTCTTGCACATGCAAGTTCTGACAATTAAAAAAAAAAAATTGTTTTTGTAAATTAATGTAAATTAAATTAGAGTATTTAAGATAGATTAATCTAAATTTGTTGAATATTTACAGAAATGAAGAGGCCTTTATCCACAAATATGAAAGGGCAAAAAGACAGGGTAGAGGAAATAGACAGACAGAAATGGGATACACCCCGTTGTAATTATGCCATGCTCTAGAATTAAATGCAAAACTTAAAAAAACCACAACAATATTCTGTGGTCTTTTGTTTTTCCCCAAAATTGTGTTCCTCTCTAAATTGTATCAAGGAAGCGGACAGGTAGATCGAGTGGAGCTTCCTGCTCTTTTTCAGGGGCAGAAGCAGATGTAACCAATGGATTTGGTACAATAGCTCCTTGATATGTGGTTGAGGTCTGTGATGTGGAAAATGTTGGTGCAAAGGAATAAGATGAGATTGATGGCGATGGTGCTGGCACAGCATAAGGAGCACTAGATAGAGGTTGAAGAGCTGGCACTGGTGGTAATATTGGCAAAGCTTGAGAGGTAGGAAGAGGAGGAGTCTTTGGTTTGGGAAGTCCGATTGCTGAATTTGGTAAATCTACAACATTTGAACTTAAATCAGGCCCCGATATATCCAGTGAAGGTGATGTAGAACCACCAGGAACACGATGGAAATTTATCCAATGCTTTTTAGCAGCTAACCAAGTTTGGAAGTAGTTGTCACATAAATTACATTTGAATTTTCCATGTGATAAAATTGATGAGTCGTCTATTTTCTTCTTTTCTTTAAAGCGACTTTTCTTTTCATTTTTTTTATCATGGGTGAAAATTGCAGAACGAACTGGTTTAACATCCTCAATTGTTGGTGCAAGTACTTCTGATTTGACAGCTGGTGATGCTGGAGACACTGGAAGTGTTTCTTTTGGGGAGGGTGCCTCTGTCTCTGTTGGCCCAGGTGTTGACACCCTCTTAGGTGTGGCAGCAGAGACAATCACATTTTCTTTAGGAGAGTTGCAAGGTGCTTTCAGTGGTGTTGTGAGCTTCATTTTAGATTTTTCTGAACACTCCTTCAGAGCTTTTCTAAACAGAGCACCACTTTTCTTAGATTTCATAAACATTTGTCGCTTTTTTGTCATGAGAAGTTTTGAATAAGGCGCCCTTGCTCTTTTCGTGCTGGGAGAAGAAATACCTGCTTTACTTTCACTAGGCACAGTTGCGACCTTTTTTAAATCTTCCAGTTTTGGAGATTTAGCACTGGCAATATCAGAGTCTGACAAACTACAGGGGTATGATGCGTGCTCCTGTTCAGACAGGAAAGAATCATCCGTCGAGCTGGCACGTACTCTTGGGACTTGAGAGCAAGGTGCGGTAGATGATGCAGCTTGAATCTTCTGAGTTTCACCCTTCCCTTTATTCGGGCACTGGGGATCAAACTTTATCACAGAGAGATCTTCACTCTTCGTGACAGTTTCCACTTTCCATTCAGCTCCAGAGTCAGTTTTTTTTGCCAATTTTAAGAGTAAAGGATTCTTTCCATGAGTCATATCAATTTCCTCAGTAGATTCATTTCTCTCAGTAGGATAAGATGTATGCTGCATTGACTGAGACCTCTTCCTCATCATTTTCTTCAGTTTTCTGAGTGACATATTTCCAAAATCTTCTGCTTTGTGCTCCTCGGAAAAATGCCTCTTAATACTGTCATCATCTTCGTCATCCATATAATCTTCAACTTCATCCGGTAATTCGAGATAACAAGTTGACTTACGTGGTCTAAAAGACCTAGTCTGTTGAGGATCATTTGAATGACGATCTACTTTGAAAGCTCCTCGTCTCTGACGCCCACCACCTCTACCTCTCCTTCCTCGACTACCTCGCCCTCGTATAGCAGTATTCCTCCTAGTAGGGACAATATCGACACAAGACTGCAAGTCCTCAAGTTCCCCAAAATGTACCTGAGTAGATTCATTGGTCAAGCTCGTGCTGACCTGAATAGCAGTATGCTTCTTTTTCTTCATGAAGTCCTTGTTACACTCCTCAACACTCTTTTCTCCAAAACTGTACAGGGATGTGCATTTGCCATGATTTAGATCTGTGCCTTCCTGAATGTCAGGTTCCTCATCAAACTTACAAAAGTTAGACCGTTGAGCAATAGCAGAAAACTCTTTGGAATTACTAGATACAACTCTCCACTCAGTACGCGACAAGCCTGTATGACTTACTAGTGTAGTGTTTATGAGTAAAGTAGGAGGAGTATTGCAACACTTAGAACAGGGTTGTTGACGGATATTTGGTCTTGTCTTCGAACCATCGTTGGGATTGGCAGTTACTGATAGATGGGGCAGGCTACCCAGAAGAGAGCGAATTGTAGCCCAGGTTGGAAGGTGAGAAGAAGAGGAGCCATCAGCACTGCTGTTGCCATCCAGTGCGCCAGCACCTCCTGAAACAAATTTAATGGGTGTTAAAAACAAACTAACACAAGAACTTAGTGACCATAAAAGTGTGTAAAGAATGTCACACAATTTATTTATCGTAATAAAAAAATATTTCCTCACTAAAATATGTAGTATTACTCAGAAGTATTGAAACTAGTTACAGAGATTCCTAAGCGAATCAATTCATGCAGAGGTAAGATTATGAAGCAAAATCATTAATATAATCTTTTTACTCAGGTAATGGGTAGAATTGTCAAAAAATAGCCCTTCTATATGGTACAATAAAATTCCATCATTTTGAGTGACTAAGTTTAATGATACTCGTAATAGATTGTTCTTTACAACACAACTAGTACACAAATTTAAATTGAAAAGAAAAGTAAAAGGACAAACCAGTTACATGCTGTCACAGGCACAGAATGTGAAGCAATTGGAATTGACACAAAATTAATTCTTGAAAAAGTAAATCCACAAAATATAGATAAAAATATATTAGTATTGCTTTAGCTAGAATTAGGGTGTTTATTGCTGATGTGTTTAAATAGACTGCCTTTTTGCTTGGATCGATGAGGACAGTGGGGACATTGAAACTGAGGCTCCTTTCCACACTCCAACCGTTGATGCAGGCTTAAACTTTGTTTCCATCTATAGACCTTTCCACATTGGTGGCAAGGATAAGTTTGAGGTCTGGAGGAAAAATTTTGTGAAGTGATAGACATTGGATGGGCATGGCCTTGTGTACTGAACTGCTGCATGAGATGAGGTTGAAGGAAATTGCTTGTTGAGGCCCATTGACCGGTAGCAAAGCCTGAAGAAAAAATAAAATCTGTGAGTTGACTAAATTTGTAACTATTAATATAAATTGTTGTCATAATTTTTTTATATAGAAACACTCATAAGGCATAAGTATGTATATGGCTTCACTGTTGGAAAAAATACATTTATTAACAATATCTCCAACATAATAAAGTTCTGTAAGAAAAAAAGAATTGTGTAAAGTAAATTAAACTAGAGACTATTGTTAAATTTCACCCACAAAATAAAATAAGATTGATATCACACTTTTCAAGAGGTAATAAGATTTAGAGACAGTGGACAGATTATAATATACCACAAGGATTGAACCCATGCTTGGTTTGACAATATGCTAATCTGAGTGTTGATGATGACAACGTAGATGAGCCAGTAAATTGCGTTTATATCTGTAAAGGCGTTGGCATCTGCGGCATTTAAATTGATTTGTAATGGGATCCACTTGAACTTCTTCATTTTGAACGGTCTTCTTACCACGTCCATGCGTGTTAAATTGTGCCTTCTTGGGCAGCGATTCTTCCATCAAAAGCTCTAAGTCTAACTTGGGCACCAGCAGACTGCAATTAACACTTGTAGTGTCCTCTGCAAAATAAAGAGTGTGATTAATATCTGGCCAGCAAAGAAAGTAACTGAGACAACATTGGCTTGTGTAAGATTTTGAAGAAAATACTTCACAAAGAAAGATGGGGCACAAAAATAATATTACAGCAAGAAGATTTTTGGGGTAACACAAGTAATTTATTTGTGATTGTTTGGGTTTGACAGGCTAAGTAAAGGGTAAGCAGATAGATTCTATCTGGGGGTCACAGCAACTATACTTAAAGATAGAACACACCCATACGGCTCATGAACCTGACTCAGTGTTGAGTAGTCCCTCTAAAAGTCACCCATGCTCGCCATTCGCTCGTGGTGTTTATTGAATACATGCTTGCGCAAATTGCCCTTTAGCTTGGTGCGATGTGGACAAAAGGGACAGAAGAAGGACGGTTCTTTGCCACACTCTAGTCTCAGATGAGTCTTGAGGCTACCCTTCCAGCGAAACTTGCGGTCGCAGCTTGGACAAGGATAAACAGTCTCATCCTGGCGGTCCTGGTCTTGGGATGCAACGGGCGAGTTTGGCGAAAACATTGCCCCTGGAACGCTAGCGGGGTGTTCAGCGTTTGGCGCGCCGCGATACCTCCACATGCCACCTGCACAGAGATAGGACAAAGTCAGACTTGGGCACACACTGCAGGATTCTTCCAACACCCCAAATCTACTTCCCCGGGATGCCACACTGTTAACATGTCTTTACATACTCACTAAAAAGCCCCTTTGACATTAACGCCAGAAACTTAGGCACCAGACGGGTTGAGAGGCACTGCGCCGCTGAAAGGCATCCCGGGGTGCTTGCACTTCATGTGCTTGTTTTTGAGGTCACTGCGGTGTTTGCTGCGATACGGGCAATACGGGCATTTGAACTTGGGCGCCTTGCCGCACTCGTTGCGCAGGTGCTGCGAGAGGTTGCCCTTCCATCGGTACGTTTTGCCGCACTTGTGGCACGGGTAGCAGCCGACTTGGCGGTACACAGGTGGCGTGCCCCCAGCTGCAGCACCGAGTACTCCGAGAGAAGGGCCCTGCTCAAAGACGTGGCCAGGCACAGAGGCGCACCCAGGGGCCGGGTACGGTGCCCAGAAGGGTGCTGCAAACACAAGGCTGACATGAGAAAGACGAGCGAATGGACATAGGGAATTACAGACGGCAGGGTTGCTGTGAGTTAGACAAGCAAAAGGTAGTGCAGTTGTGAAGTACATTGACGTGGGAGGGGCCAGAAGGAAAAAAAAAACTTTTGGGAAGGGACAAAAAACGTTATTTTATTATCAAAATACTGTGTGACTTCTGGCCAAAACGCCGAAAGAAAAAAGAAAGGTTGAAGAAAAAGGACACTTCCACGGGGTTCAACGCGACACAGGAAAGGAAAACTTTGGTCAAATCGCGAAGGGCTTTCCCGGATGGACAAAGATTATGTGCCTCTTGAGGTGACTCTTGTGACGTCCTCGGTAGTCGCAAAAAGGGCATTGAAAGCAGGGTTCTTTGCCGCATTCCAGCTTGAGGTGCTGAGACAAGCTCCCCTTCCAGCGGTACACCCGGCCGCACTGCGAGCACTCGTAGCGCCCGGGCCCGCTCTGCTGCAGCAGCTGGGAGCTTTGGGCGCCAGGCTGGCCCCAGTCGGTACTCGCGGGGGAAGTCCAAGCGTCCGCGTCCGGGCCTGCTGGGAAACAGAGGGGAATGAGTACTGGTGGGGGCAGGGCGGAGCAGAGCGGGGCGCAACCGAGCCGAAGGGAGTCGAACCCCCGCGCCCCAGTGGCACCCAACCCAACGGGACCCGACCTGGGCCGGTGCATCACAGGTCGTGGTGGACGAGCTCGGGGTGCAGCTTGCGGACATGGCGAGTGACGCCGCTACGCTGCTTGGAGCGGTACCGACAGGCGGGCGACACGGGGCAAAGGAACTGGGGCTCCATGCCGCACTCGAGCCGCATGTGCTGCGAGAGGCTGCCCTTCCAGCGGTACACCTTGCCGCACTGCGGGCAGCGGAACGAGCCGGGCCCCTTGCGACCTGCGGGAGAAGAGACGACCGGGTTAGCATGCCGCGGGGGGTGCGTAGCCCGAGTAGCTGGCTCTACGCTACCCTTAGGGGAGCGGCCGCTAGCGCGGTAGCTGCGCGCCAGCGGGTCACAAGTGGAAGTCGCAGCCAGGGTGCTGCATGCGCACGTGGCGACGCAGGTCGCTCTTGTGCTTGCAGCGGTACTGGCAGGCGGGGCACTGCAGCTGTGGCTCCTTGCCACACTCCAGCCTCAGGTGCTGGAAGAGGCTGCCCTTCCAGCGGTACAGGCGGCCACACTGCGGGCAGGCGAACTGGCCCGGGCCGCGAGCACCCTGACGACCGCCTCCGGCGCTTCCCCGACGCAGCTCACCTACAACCGAGACACGGGTAGTGTCAAACATTAACATCCACGCCTGTACAGACAGAGCTCCTTACTGAGTATTACATGCTAAATATCGAGGTGGGTCACACATAAGTCATACTGACTCAAACAGAACGCTCAGCTTAGTACAAAGAACTTTCAACAGTTTTCATTTGAAGGACAAGCATTATGATGTGAAATGTCAGGAAAGAAATACCCAATACAAAATACAGTAGTACTTGTTTACTTTAAATATTTCTTATACAGTCCTCTCAGGATGCTTATAAAGTATGTGCTTCTTCAAATCACTTTTGTATTTATAGACAAGAGAGCAGATGGAGCACTGGAATTGAGGTTGTTTTCCACACAGCAGTCTGATGTGGTGAAGTAGGTTACTTCTCCAACGGTAAGTTTTTCCACACTGATGGCATGGGAAATGACCAGGCCCAGATCCTGACGATGGTGCCTTCTCGTTGAACACACCATTCGGTACCCAGTTATGGGAGACAAGCCCTAGAGAAAGTTCAGAAGTTAGAACAGTGAACCAAATACAAAGCAACACTCAACTGTAAATTATTAAGTATATAAATAAGTGGTAGAGAAGAAAGAAGCCAGAAAGACAAACCACCATTAGAAAGCTTTATTTGAATTTAATCAGAAACAAATACAAGAGATATGAGAACAAGATTTTAAGCACAAACACTTTGAGACTCTTCAGTTTTTATGATTTTAGTTTTAAAAATATCTGTTAGTTTTATTTCAGGGACAAGCCATATTTTATTATCCCCATCTAAGTCTAGAGCTGAACAATTTGAAGGATTAGCTGATTTAGCTTTGCTCTTGGGACCACTTTTTTTACATTTTGGCATAGGTTTTTTTTTTGCTTTAACAATTTTTGCAGCACTGGTAACAGTTCCATGATTATCTGCGGCTTCTAGCCTAGAGTCACTCAGCCTGATAACAGCACGTCTGATGTTTTCAGTTAAACCTTCTAGCACAGGCAAATCGTTTTCATTTGTTACACTTGGCTGCCGCAGCGTATCAGTTAAGGCATGTAATCCGTGGGCAAGTTTCATGCGAGCACTGATCCAACCTGTCAACAAAAAGAGTATCTTATTAGTAGCTGGAAAAGCATCTGCATCCAAATGCACTTGCAAACCTTATGCATGCAACCCAATCATTCATATCATCCCTATAATGACAGAAAAATGGCATGCTTGAATGAGAACTGAAGAAAAGCCTTTTGAGCATGAATTTAATCTTGCCCCCAAACATAAAGTGCACACAAAAGATGAATCTAAGAACCAATCTACTTGGTGGTTGACACATTCGAATGTACCTGTCAGTGAAATGAAAGAGAGATAGATAGATGTTAGAGGAGGATTAAGGAACAAATTACAAACTGCTAGGAAGGGTGAGAAATATCAATACAGGCAATAGGAATGAATTTTGAGAAAAGGAAACAGTAAGTTGCTCCACAGTCTAGAGCAGACAA